TTTATTTTCTATAACCTCATCAAACTCTTCCAAGTTTTGAATACAAGGTGGTCCACTCTTATCCGGCATTCCAACAGCTGGTAACTCCCAATTAACGTTAAAAAAAAAAAAAAATATATATATATATATACCTGGCAAACCTCCCAATTCAAGGCATGTTCAACCTCCGTGTACTGTAGTTGTCCACAAACCCATTTCTACCATTATTTCTTGATATTCAAACAATAATCACCCCATAAAATAAATTAATAATCATAAAATAAAATAATAATTCAAATAAAAGAATGAAGTCATTGGTAGCTTATCTATTTGCACTGAAGCTCTTACACTTTACAGGCAGATGTATGATCCTGAAGCTGAAAAAGAGTTGTCTCAACTCATATACTGTACAGTACAATTTGTTATTTTTATAATGCCCTCTGAAGAAAATTATTATACCGTACAAGGTACAGTATCTAAAAACAAAACAAAAACATGGCAACGGTATTGTACAGTAGCTGACAGCTAGATTTTTCAATTCGTAATTCCACACTTATCAGCCTACTTGCTGTTCAGGCAGGTAGTCTGTTTTTTGTTATGACCTTCATTGTCCGGTTAGTACACGAGGAAACCGAAGTACCAAAAGAAAATCTGCCATGTTTGGTTGGGTCACACTGAATACCATCCTTCTCACATCAGACCCGGGATTGAACCCAAGACTTTGAGGTCAGGTGCTGTCCTGCTGCTTTTGTTGTGTTTATAGATATTTAATTATTATTTTACCCCCAATTCACAGAACATAATGTCTTATAAGTGACCATTAAATTAATCCTGGCTTTATTTCTTCCAAGAAGACACACACACACACTAACTACAGTATACAGTAATACCTGTAGTTTCGTGAAATGTAAGATGTTGGTTCACTTGTGCATGAACTGAAGTAGCAGAAAGGGGAACTTCTTGATTTTTATGTATACAATTGTCTTCATTTAGTATGGTTCTTTGGTGAAATATTAATTGTTCCCCCCAAAAATATAAATATTTTTCAAATTTCAAAATTCTTAAGATAAAACTTTAAATTGCATGTATTCAACTAGTACCTCCTAGATACATAGAGATACTTGTAACCAGATTTTTTGCATATGTATACAGTACAATAATTTCTTTACAGATCACCCCAAACTGTGCATTATGACTATAAAAACAACCTGCCAGTGCTTCACCCAGCACACTTTCTATCAAGAGCAGTGAAAGAGTATTAGTTTAAAGGAGAAATTTGACATTATTAAACAACATGAGTGAGGTGAAGGAACAACAGCTGATCATCAGCCACGAGAGGGCAAACATGACCCACAAGCTTCTCATTAATCGTTCATTACCACAACTTATATAATTCTTTTATGCAATCTTACAATTATTAAATACTTGTTGTTTTAGTATTGAATGATAATAATGGGTATAGATGGATATGCTGGCTAGCTGATGCAGGTTGGTCATGGTGCTGGTGGGTGGTCAGTAGACCAACAGCTGTGAGATAGAGATTATGCACAAACTCTTTCTTTATACAGTACAGTACAGTACAGTATTACATTTACTAGGTAATTTTTTTTTAGAAAAAAAAAAAAAAAAAAAATTGGGTGGAACATAGCAGTGAGAATAACTCAAAATTGTTTTGGACATCAGATCATTGGTGTTCTTATTTTAAGTACCCATCTATGACTGAGCATAGCTAGGATACATGAATTCTACATACAGGTACTGTATTTTTTTTTTTTAATTACAGTACAGTATTATTCAATTTCTTATATGCAGTATTTACTGAATATTATTGACATAATACTTGTTTATTTATCAAATATATTCACTATGATGTGTGTCAAATTTGTATACAAATAAATCCATAACTTTTAGGGGCATTAGGCGAAGCTGCACTTAGCCTAACGTACCATCTTGTGCATCGTGACGTGAAGTACTTCAAATACAATATTTGCATCGGTGAATCAAATCCCACCATTAAACTTTAAAAAAATTTGCCACACGAAAGTTTTCAAAATAATTGTGTCAAATTTCCGTGCATCATACATGACTGCATCTTGCAAGAAATGCTTCCAAAAAGTACCAAAGTGTGGGTAGAGTTCCACTGTCGATCAGTTTTCTTCTATCAGCCGTGCTGGTAGGTCGCATTTGTTTATCACCTCTCCAACCCTCCCCACTATTAGTTGTATCAAAATGCCAAAGTCACCGTTGGAAGTTAATAAAATTCTGCTTCTATAACTTTGATAAACTTGGTAGGTTTGTGAGAAAATATCCGAGATATGATGTTGGGAACACATAATTTTGTTCTTTATTTGGAGTAAAAAAATGGTTTTATTCGCGTCTTTTTTTCTTCTTCTGCTTACGTTAAAGCCAAAACAATAAAGAAGGCAGTAATGTATAAATCGAGAAAAAAAAAGAAAAAAGTATGAGATGAATTGGCCGCAGAACGAAGATGACCAAACCTCATGTGAGTGGTCTCATATGAATTTTGTTGTGATCACGGAAACTTAAAAACTTATTGCATGCGCCAGAGTTAATTATCAGCCTTCCATTTAATAGGAAGTCTTATCATCCAACATGGCCCTAGTCTTAACGTTGTTAGACTGTTAAAAGTCCATTATCCCAGATACACTTTATGTCCACTGCTGTTACCTATCATCAAGACCAATGCTCTCACCATGCTAACCAAAAGCTCATACACACACACCATGTCAGACACCTATGTACCTGTTGCCAATCCAAAAATATACAGGTATCCCTCGTTTAATGTTGTTGTTGCGTCCCCCCTAAAACCTAACGTTAAGCAAAATTATCGCTAAACGAGAGATAACAGCAAAGCACTGAGGGTAAACAACAGGGCGGTAAACACCGAGTACAGTACTGTACTCCCTAATAATAATATCAATAAACGAGTTTGTTATTAACGGTTTCAAAACTTCTATATAAAACAATGTGGTTCCGAGTTAATTAATTTAGTGAGCAAAAGGTGATCCTAATTCGAACAAATTTCAAATTGCATACGTCAAAAATGAAAAGAATTGCTATGATTAACAATAAAATTAATACATAGCATATCTATCATAAAATAAAATGGCACATATTTTATTATTAAAAAAAAAAAAAGCCCCTTCCAAACTCAACCATCCTCTGGGCAGCACGACACAGTTCAGCCAGGAAGTCACCCTGCTGACTCAAGAAACATGTGGTTGCTGTCGTGCTTGCACTGTGTGTATGCTATGATGTCACATTGGGGGAGGGAATCAGGGAGCACGGCTCAGCTCTCGACACAAGTTACTGTCCACTACCTCCACAAATATGTTCACTTCACACATATATACCCATCCCATGCTCTTAATTTTTCTTATTTTATAATTTTATATTATATTTTCTTTACTTTTAAGCCACATTACAGTATTGTAATGATTTTTCCAAAATGGCAACATGCCATCTCACAGGCTGCCACATCCCATTTTTTTTCTTCTTTCCAGTCAGTCAAGTTACTGCTAAACCAAACTTTGACAGACTGTTGAGTGAGAAACACTATCATATATTTTAAATTGCTGAACCGAATTGAAGTTAAGTGAATTAACGCTAAATGAGCGATACCTGTACTGTAGTTGCATCCAATATTAAACATGTGTAGATGCACATTTGTCCAATACTGTACTAAACACAATCATCATGCCATTCACATGAGTGCTGTCACAGAATCACCAAATTATAATCCAGGCTGCTTCTATACATGCCCTTAGTCAATATCAGGCCCACTCAACTGGTTGAGAAGATTAAAATCTTCATGCCATCAGTGTGACTACTACCAAACAATCTCCCCAAAAACTGATTACAGTGTACAACCATGCTCATACCAATGCAGCCTTGTGTTTGTTGACTTTTATTTCATACATTTGCTTCCAAGCAAGAAAATGACTATTACTGAACTCATATTATGCCACACACTTGGCTGTTAACATGCACTCACTAAAGTCTTGATGGTTTACCTTCATCGAAACTTCAACAAATCCACATCACTAAATCTTGGTTTACATTCTCACACAGCACACCCAAAAAATACATAACTTTTAACTTAATATTAAACATGTGTATGACTTTTGTCTTTGTTTCAATCTTAAACTTTTCACTAGTTAGCTACCCTATTCCTTGAGTAATATATGTTAGAGATATGGGTAGTCCTCACTTAACATCAATGTTTCATTCCTGAAAATTGCAACATTAACCAAAACAACCGTAATTTAAGTAAAAAAAAAATAAATAAAAAAAAAACATAGGCCTAATATTATAGGTATGGGTTGTGCACAAGGGGTATTTTGGGGTCCTGGGAAGGTTGAGTTTTTGGTAACTTTCCCTCACCTACAGTAAATGTTACTGTGCTTTAAGATATGAAACAAAACTCTTAAGTAAATAATGTAAAATAAAAAATAAAAGTTCCTGGAGAAGAGTAAACACAGTTGAAAGAAACACAACTACACTAATATCAGGTACAGTTACACTTGAATTAGTCTTCCCCTCCAATAAATTGCTATTGTAATATTTACTGTAAGTATGTTTCCAAATATTTTCTAGGGAGTCTTGTATCTGAATACTTGATGCTCACTAACTTCCACACATCTTATGACTTGCAGTTTAACATTCATATACTGATGCTTTTTCTTGACTGCTTGGCCACATTACCTACAACAACATTGCAGACCTTTTACCAGACATTAGGAGTAAAAAATAATTTAAAGGGAGTTAGTACCAGTGGGGTGAACAATGGCTGCAGTATACATTTAAAACTGAGATGGGTGCTATGTGGTAATCAGTATACAGAACAGTACATCACTCTCAGAAAAAAGATGAGTGTTGCATGTTATAGTCTTCCTTGGAACTTTTGAACCATTCTATTGATTTGATTTAATTGTTATAATAAATATTTTTTGCCTGACAACATAAAAATGAAACAACATTGATCAGGGTGAAGTTAAGTGAGGACTTCCCATTAATTGCACACATTTAATCCCCCTATACAGTACATACTAACAAAACTAAGCTTTTAAATCTTTGTTCCATAAAAATTAATGAGACTAGCCCCTCATAATTCTAATAGTGAACCAACACTACCTTGTAAGAATGAGCTATACATCCTACCTTTTGTTTCTTCATTCATGTGCTTATATACAGTACACAATTAATTCTAGTCAAAGTCAACTACAGGTTTGTCACTTAGTCATAAACTCCAGTAGTATGGGTTGTCAAAAAGTTATCTCTGTCAGTCTGGATTGGTATTACAGTTGGTTAGAGCAATTATAATTTCCCTTTTTTCATATTTCTCCTAACCTAACTAAAGTTACAGACAGACAGACCAAGAGGTGAATATCTGACACAAGAGGGACGAGACAGAGGTATCACCCTTTAGCTTTATTAGCCAGGAGGCCAAATATTTCCACAAGCTACACTTTGGCTTACACACCAACACTATTGCTTACAGTAATAGCTGGGCTTAATCTTGAAGCCAATATTTTTTACAATTTTAATGTTTTTTTTTTTAGATCTTAATATAGTGTTTACATACAATGTACATTGTGCATATCAGGCATTCATGTGTAAACAATTTAACATGAATTAAAATAATAAAATGAGTAGATTACACCAAAATATTCAGAGTGCAAAATTTCAATCTTGTATAATATACAGTACATCCTTACATTACCATCATCAAAAGTTAAGCCTGTGAACCTTTTGCCATTATGACACTCTTTCACTAAAGAAAATCTATTTTCATATGAGTACCTGCTTAATGCAAACTCAAGTGCAGTTAAAATATATTATTTTTAAAAAATTCAAACAATGCAAATTAAACTGCCTGTCTGTTTTAATGAGTCAAATAGATGCACATGCAAAAGGAAATAACATATAAGTCCCCTTAGCTGCAGACCTATTTTTAAAACCCTATCAACAGTCAGGGTGCTTGGAGCATCACTCAAGAAATAAAGAACAAAGATTCAAATATATCACATACGAGGAAAATAGCATCACTTTATCCATACCCTTCATTTAACTGCACTGGGTCAACAAGTTCAGATACTAACAAACCTGATATTAAACAACTAAAAGGAATTCAAACAATTGGGGAACCTAAATAAATTTGTTTTATAAGCAATTTCAATGAATTGAATGTACTGTATATATAAAATGACTCTCTTGGTGCTACAATGATCATGCCATCCAAGTAATTAATTCCAATCTTATGGCAGGATACTGATGGTTCATTAGGGATGACAGCTGTAGTTACTTACAATCAAGAATATTGGAGAACAAGCTTGTGCCTATACCTATAGCTATGGGTCAGTTTGTAGCCATAGTACTAAAGGATATATCCAATCTGAAGATACAGTATTAAACATTTCTGGTGATGGCCAAATAGAGAATTTAAACAAGCTGATGACATGATATCACTGAAATTTGGATCACTCTTGCAAACATTACTCTATGTGACCGTGTATCAATTTGCTCAGACATGGAGAGAAATCAAAAGGAGTAAAGTTTGATGAAATTAAAATAACACTTGTTACCTTTCTAAAAATCAAAACAAACTGGAGGATTGATTCTGAAATCTTAACCTCTAGCTAAGCCAGTAGCAAAGCAGCTCCTGTTAATGCACAATACAACTATTTGGGGATATTTGACAGTAAACCCTCCTAACTGGTACCTGGGGTTAATCTTATAATTGGCCATCCGTCATAAATATCTCACCTGAATAGGTAAACTGGAAACAAAGATTAACCTTTAGAGGCAAGAAGTCTGAAAGGTGGCCGTGTATACTGGGCCAGTACACTAATCACACCAGCCAGAGTAAATCTGCTGTTTTGGATATTTTCAGCTGGCTATTGACAAACTGGAGGGAGGTTGTCCTACCTACCTGGCTGCAGGCTCAACTAGAAAACCAGATTTCAGAATCAATCTTCCAATTCTAGCGTGATGCCCACTAGGCAGTTCCTGTAATCACAGCCAGTAAAAAATTGGGGAGGTGGTGGTACTGTACTATCAATTCCCCAAAGAGCAGCAGACAAGCACTTCACAGACGAGTTCCCAACTGTGACAAGGACAGGAGCTGCAACCCAAGCTCATTTGTACCACAAAATTATTTGACAGTACCCTCTAATCTCAAGGAAAACATAATGGGAAGGTATCCAGAGCCCAAAGGAAAATGAAATATTTATTTAATGTGCACATTCAGGGCAGGCCAAGACTATTAAAGACATGGATATGTGAAATCCATGGCACAAAAATGTAATCGTGACTCAATATATTTACTGACTATAAGTTAGAGATGGTCACTGAACAATATAATTTCAAAGCCTTAATATAAAGGGAAATCAAATTTTAGCATGCAGGAGAACAGAAGAAACATATAAACCTGCTTCCATTTTGTCCAAGAACAGGAAAATATATTTCCTATTAAAAAATCCTCCTGAAAAGCAGTTTGGACATACAGTATAATTGGAAGTTGTTCTTAACCTATTCCCTCTATATGGTAAAAAAAGAACTCCAATGCTGTCATAGACAGCATCACAGAGTCAGGATGCATCAGGATGTGATTCCTATGGTATCTATCATAAAACCACATGATCTCATGGAGAAGAAACTCTACCATCCAGTAAATTTGCTACTCTCCACATTCCCAACTGAACATAGGAAGAAGGTACAGTGCCCTGCCAGAATTCCTGAATTTGCACATAAAAGACTCCAATCAAATAAACTTGACTGAATTCTTAATTGGAATCCTTCAAGTCCCTGAAATACATTGGGAATAATGCCACTGCAGGGGTTCAGAAAAATCCTAGAGAGGAGAGGTCCCTAACATACAGCTCCTGCAACATTTTCCCTCAAGCAGAGGAAACAATCCAAGGGGAGAGGAGTGCCAGACATGCTTCTGCCCAATTATATTCTATGCTAAGAAAACAAGACATTTAAGCAAAAACCTAACCTGCACTAAGTAACACAGCTCAGATGCAATGAAGTGTGAAACTATCAATCACAACATGAAAATTCACATGTGCAATACTGTTTACACAGCTGCTATATGGTACCCCTATAATATCAAATCATAATGTTAAGTGACCTTCCCCTATTTATATTTAATGAATACAACTTAGAAAGCCTAAACCCTCATTACTGTTCTGGGTGCAAAGATGGTCTGAAGTCACCAGCACATTGAAGTGAAATAGTAACTCAGGTAGTGGAAATTATAAGGGACTTTGAAGTCACTCTTGAAATTGAACTCGGTGAACTCAATCTATCCAGGCCAGATAGCAGATCCTCTGAAGGGATTATGTTTAATCTAATCATGAGAATCATGTAAGCACATAAAACTCCTTGGACTAAAGCTACAGAGAATATTACATGTTGACTTCTTATATACCCATGTAGTCACAAGTAAGTCATCAAAACCCTTATTATGATGTTCCAGAAACCATAAGCCAGTTTTCTGTAACCCACATAGGATGACCAGTCATCAACAAAAAAAACAAAATAAACATGAGGTACTACTTGAGCAATGTAATTGAAGTCACACTCCCTCGTGCTAAGATCATTTCACTTGCTGGTGTAATAACCTGGACTTGGAGGAGCCAGTTGGATATATACAAACCCAAAGAACTGAAGCAAGAAGACAAAATGACAGATTTACATAAATGTTTACACTTAGAACTGTAGTAAACCTCACAATTACCCCTCAAAGCATATCCAAGTTGGAATACGATACTTAGCTCAACATTATTATGAAGAGCTTTGGGATACGCCTACTAAGATAAGCATCAGCTGGTAAAATTCAAAACAGCGAAGTTTCTCTGAAATTATGATGGCAGCCATGGCTGGTACAATGTGTTTAATGGCCAGATAGACATCCTAACTCTAGAGGGTAACCTTTGCTTCCAATCCAAACTATTAATGGTGATTGTTGTAACAAGGAGAGATGATCAACCATAAGCTGTCAGTTAGAGGTAATTAACTGTCCTGGTCCCCTAAAAAAGGCTTCTGCATAAACAGAAACCCCTTGGCAGAGGGCTAGAAAAGCCTATTATTAAGGACAGTTTACATATCTGTGAGCATTCAAGTTCTGCATATAATGAAATTAATATTGCATATTTTAGTCTGATATACATTCAGATATTTAATTTGAAAAGCACACTCATGTTTTCAAACATCAGATCACCATAAACAATAAAAAGTTTTGGCAGACAAAAATAATTTATGTACCAAGTACAAACAAGATTTCCTATGAATCTGGATAAAATCCAATGATTACAGATCTTAATAAATGCTTTCTATTAAAAAATAGAACCCCTCTCAAGAAATATGATGTATTACATATTACAGTCTCTAGCCACCATAAAGAACCTTGGAAGCAATAACAAGGTGGAGAGGATTTTCCTTAATGGAACATTCAAGGAACATTCACTTCACATGAGTAGGAATATTTGTACCATCTACCATTAACACAATTTTACATATTTTCACACATCTTTAACATGGATTGTACAGTTTAGCTACTGATAGTGAAAACAGTAGGCATAAAATTTTTTCTTAAAAATTCAAAACACTACTATGCCAAAATATTGTATCGATATTTACCACCAACCTCTTCCCCCTCTGCCACCTCTCCTGCCCCCTCGTCCTCCACCGTATGATTCTGACCCGCGAAAACCTCTTCCTGATGGGTTGTAAGGAGGAGTTCCATGCTGAAAGTCGCCATAACGGCCACTATAAGGAGGTCCAAAGCTGCCTCTACCTCTACCGTGTGGTGGATAAAAGTTGGGGCTTCCCCGACCCCTTCCCCTGTAGTTCTGAGGACTACCGTAATATCCTCCATTGCCCTGCTGTGGACTATACCCGCCTCTGTATCCTCCACCTCGATTATGGCTCTGACCCTTGGAATTACCCTTGCCTCGTTGCTGATTAAACTCTTCATCTAGGCTTTTCATAACATCTATAACATTTTTTTCACTGCAACTACGATTATTACTATAATCCCTTCCTGTGTTTCCTCTTCCCCCGGTCTTAGCAATTACTGTTGGGATATACTCTTCCACCGGACTCTTTTCTTTGTCCGATTTCTTGAAATCTTTATACCACCCCCTCCCTGCACTTGAAGCTTTATAATCCTTGTCGCTGATATCCCCGTTTGAATCATTTCCAGACTCTTTACGAATCCTCAGAGGTTGAGGTGTGTAACCCTCACTTTCATCACTGTCTACTGATTTTCTTTTTTCTGCTTTCTTTCCTTCAGATTTTAGAGCTCCAGTGTTGCCAATGACAGATAGTATGGCACTTACATCAACAATACCCGATTTATTGTTGGGTTTAGTGGTAATGGAAGTAGTGTCAGCAGTTTTACTAACTCTTGCTATTACACTGATAGCTGAAGTGGAAGTAGTAGTAGTTACACTCTTTGTGACTGCAGTACTCGTACTACCGGCAGGTTTTTCAGGTTTAGTCTCTTTGTTATTATTTACCTTTTTAAGAGCTTCTGTTTTATTTTCTTTGGACTGACTTTTCTTTGTTGACTTTGATTCACTTGTTTTTTTATTATTACTGTTTCCTTCTTTCCCGGACTCATCACTAATATCCATGTCATCTGATTCTGAAGCACTGATGTCCATGTCAGATCCTGAATCATCATTACTTTGTTTTACTCCAGGCTTTTTTACTCGCAAATCTAAATCATCACCACTTGCAAATAATGCGTGAATAGAAGGTGTTGGAACTGCCTTTGACTGTGCTGTATGATCTGAAAGAAAACTGTAATCATAACAACGGTAATCACTGTCTCTTCCTTTTGGTTTAATACTCACTAAATTTGTTCTGTGATCACTGTCCTCCCCTTCCGATGCCAATTCTCGTAAATTGCTTCGAGATGGCGCACAAAAAGCTGGGGGCAAGGGAGGTGGAAGTAAAACCCCCGAGAATCCTTTCTCAAAAGTTGGGGGAGAGGATGGGGTATCTGAAGTCAGTGCTTCTAGTTCTTCATTGCCAGGAGGCTCACCCCAGTTACGATCATCTGACTCATCATCATCATTTACATCCCCAGGGTTACTATATTGTTCATAATCAGGCCAACCTTGGCTAAAACTCCTAGAAAGTATTTCATACTCATTTCCCGACCCACCGGTTCCATCATCTAATACTTCAGGAGGAGGTGGGGGCGGTGGTGGAGGAGGCACCCATGCAGTTTGGGTTTCATAAGGTGGATAAGGAGGCTGTTCACCAGGTGTTGGAGGAGGGGGATATGCTGATTTGGGAGATGACTCAGGTGGTGGTGGATATGGCTGAGGAGTGTAAAGTGATTTTGGAGTATATGATGTGGGGGCACTGACAGGCATTGGGGTATATGGAGAAGGGGAATCTGTGGTAGGTGGATTACTGGGGGGTAAGGGTATGGAGAGGCTAGGAGGTGGACGAGAAAGATCAGGTATTGAGTGATTGGGAGTGGATGTGTTGGGAGGTTTGGAAGGTTCATATGGAGGAGGTACAGGCACAGGTACAGGTACGGGTACAGGTAAAGGTACAGGTGACTTAACACTGCTGCTTGTACTCCCACTTCCTCCGCTGGATTTGCTAAGGTAAGCCTTGCCAAAAGTATCCAGCAATTCGGCAGCACTCATGGGCTTCAAATCCTGAAAACAATTAAATTGTAAACATCTTTTGTTAAACATGACAACAACATATATTCTACTGTACATGTGTCAATGAATAACAGAACAGTATAGCATTGAGTGTCTTATGGATGAACAGGCTGCTGATGGGTGGTGGTGAATCATATGAAGGAAAAGAGATACACCAAACATATTTTGGGGCCTTGTTGTGGTAGAGGAACACCACAGCAAAACTCATCAGTTACAACAGTGAAAAAAGAAAAGCTAATGTAGAGAAAATATATACTTGCTCTTGGCTCTGACCACCCTGCAATATAGTAAGAAAAGGCTTGCAAGAGTGGAAAAAATTTAAAAAAGAGATGTCGTATATTGAATAACAACAACGGTAAAGTATGGATATTCATACCTTAGGAGGATGAACTGGGGAGTCATAAGAGCTAGTAGGAGTGTGAGAATACTCCCGGTCTCTAGACTTGTGGGTGTAGTCACGCTCACATGTTGCACGGTCCCTGCTACTGCCCCTGTAGGCTTCACGACACTCTGAGGCGCCATCCCGGGAATCTCGGGAGTCCCTAGAGCTTCTAGAATTCCTGTGTTCCCTTAATGATACATAGTCCCTTCGGTCGGCAGAATCACGATCCCACGAATCTCGAACGTCTCGAATCTCTTGAGACTCCCTTCTTTCATCGGGATCCCTCGAACTTCTCGACTCCCTTGTGTCTCGGGTCTCCCTGTTATTTCGCGAGTCCCAGACTTCACGAGCTTCATACCCATCTAGAGAATCTTCAACATCCCAGACTTGAATATTATCCATAGTTGACTCATTAGTTGACAGTTTAGGTGACTGAACATCTTTAATCTCTTGGGAAGCAGATGTTTTTGGAGATGATTTTTTGGGGGATGCTTCACTTTTCCTGATAGCTGATAAGCGACTCTCCAGGTCTCCACTTGTTCCGCCTAAAGCATCCTTAGCAAGTTCAGCAAATTTTGATGAATTCAAAAATGAATCAAACCCTGTAATAAATTAGTGAAAATTAATACGTATCTCAACTGTTATAATGGCTAAAGAGACTCCATATCATATCAAATCAATATGAAATTTTTCTAAAATTAAGGATGGAAGTATAAAATGTAATTCACAGTCAACAAAAAGAAAAGTAACATGTGTCGGCCATACCAATAAATCACAGCCTGCCTACTGCCAGAGGGCCTTGATGTGTTTAAAAGCAGGATTCACTATCCAGATAGGACAAGACTAGATAGTGTTTTGCTTTGTTTGTTTTTTCTACTCAAGTCAAATCTAGTATACTGTATTGTGAATTCAATTCCACTTCATCTGGTACCCGACTGAAGGTTTCAGGTTAGGATTTGAAACTCAAGCACAATCATGCAATACATGGTCATAAAAATTCATTTGCCTGTCATCTACAGTAAGTTCCTTCCAATCACACCAGGGAAAGAGAGAGGAAATTCATGTCACTTCATTTCTTCCTCTCCGTCACCCAATGTGATTTCATATACCAATCCATCATTTATGAACTACAGGTCACTAATAAATGACCTGTGAGAGTCTAACTAGAAGGAGGATGGAAAAGGTAATATGTAACAAAATCTATAAATAGCATCTCGATTAAGAACAATTTATTTATTTATTTATTCATTTATTTTGTTTTTTTACGGGGAATAGCCCACCTGGGCACAGGCCATCGACCCAAAACGGGGCCTAGGGGGCAAAAAAAAAATAAGAGTAAAAAGAAATTAAAAATAGAAAAGAAAAAATACTATACTGTATTAATCTACATCACGAAGATGCCGGAAACCAGTTTCTTGAAGTGAGACAGATTGTAAGAGCATGGAAACAAAGAAGAAGGCAGAGCATTCCACAGTTTGGCTGTGTGAGGAAAGAAGGATGTACTATAACGGGTTATTCTAGTGTGACCGACATCCACACAGAAATGGTGGGCACCGCGGGCAAGACGAGGTTACGAGCTCACGGCCTTGCCGGCGGTACACAGGATGCCAAATCCATCGAACATTGCCCGTTAAAGTACCTGCAAAAGAGAGAGTGAAGCAACATTGCAGCGAAGAGAAAGGGAAGAGAGATGAACAAATAAAGGAGGAGAGTTAATAAAACGAAATGGAAACATGCACAAACAACAAGAAGCTTGCAAATGCCTGATTAAGGGCTTAGCCCCATAAATAAGAAACTTGAGTTCCCAAGACTACAAGACTACAGGAAAACTTCCCATCAAAAGACAGGGTAAACAAAGCAATATGATTGAGCAACTCACTACTTGTTTCCGTACTCTGAACTTTCCATCTACTAAGCCCCTAAAACTTACTACAAATTATATTTGTCAGATTTCAGATCAGCACAACTAATATAAGCTAGTCATGTTATGTCATTTAATTTTCAATAAAACTCTTTCAACTGAAGAACAAGAACACCACAGTTAATTATGCAATTAATCACATTCTACACATCCAAACATACATGTAAGAAGTCCTCCAAATGGTGGAAGAAAAGTTTGATGTCATGTGAATATGGTCAATTGCACTCACCTGAGTTGCCAGATTCAGGCAGGGACAAGTCTTCATCATCACTGTTCTCTGGTGAGGGAGCATCTACAGTTGGGGAGGGCACTGGACTGGGTTCTGGGAGAGTCTTCATTTTTTCTGTTAATTTGGTCTTTAGAGTCTTTACCCTATTCCCAAAGTTTTTATATGCCTGCAATAAATATTAAATTCACATTTTATATCAAATTAAAAGTTCAAACATATATTAGAAACTTAAGTGCAGAAGTTATGTACAGAATAATCTATGGGCAAAGCATGTATGCCTTACTTCCCATTAAGGTGCAGTGGGAACAAAGTAAACTGTAGACTAAGCCCTTTTTTCAGTATACGTACAAGGAGATAGTTTGGCCAGCACTCCACTCAACCACCGTAACTTCCCTAACTGTACTTAAGTCAGGTACCCATTCAAAGCTGGGTTGACTTTGAGTGGCCCATGAATGAATAAACCAGTGACCCTTGGAGCAGGAGAAGAGTGCTGTATCCACTTGGCTGCCTCAATTAAGGTTAAAAACCAGCACATCCTAATTGTATACGAAACAGGTAAAAATTTGATCCAGTTTATTTTCCCTCTGTAAGCTGTATATGCCCAATAAACTCTTACTTGTTTAAGTGATAACTGCCCTATTTCTTAATTATTAAGCAATTAATACAATATTAACTTACATTGGCCACCATTTTAGCCTCCCCACGCTGAGTCTCGTAGAATATCTCGGCCTGTTCAAGTAGAGTTACTACCTGCGTCCTCTCCTCTACTTCCTTTTGCACTGAAGCCATATAACATTCAAGGGCAATTACAGCTTCTTCAAACTCCTCCATGCGCTCTCGACTTGTTCCTCGCTCTGTTGGTTACAAAAGTTTAATGTTCTGTTTATTTTTTATATATCATAAATACCAGTACATAACAGAACTATATTCAGTGTGTAATAATAACAAAGAAGTGCCTGGAGAAAATTACACAATGGTAAAAGCTTAAAGTTTACCAAGTTAAAATATTTCAATGTCATTAGCGAGTCACTTAAATATGTTAATTTTTATTACTGAAACATATATACCTTAACATATTTAAAGTTTGATATTTGCTTAAATGTTTTAATTTTCACAAATAATTCATAAGACAAAATGAAATAGATAGCTGGTCAGAAAGCCATCAACTGTTGTGTAACGATAAATACAAAGTGTAAAAAAGAAACATTTTCAAGCATAAATAAAGTCTTTTAAAGTTGTCCTTATTAAAAAAAAATGACTACATACACACTGTATTTAAAATGTCTTATTAACCTCATTCCATATCCCAACTATGATGTGGTGTGGAACACAGACAATAATTCTCACCTTGGTATGCTAAAACCAAAAATAAGGGGGACAGAATTTTGAAATTCCCATTTATGATTGAGGGGAATTAATAAATTGTGATTTAGAAAGCATATTAATCCATCATAACAAAGTCCATATTGTCAATTCTGGATACAGCAGTGAGGTACAGTACTGTTACTCTTCCAGGTGTAATCATATCTTATATCAATTCTTCTATGAAAGGTTGTTACCATGTAAGGTAGGACAGCCACTGAATTAGTGTCAAATACCTGTTATTTGTTTTTCCTCATAAATTGCTGTCTCAACACATAAAACATGGTCTCCTGTATATAGCCCATACTTGTAGCTGCCTTCTTGTTATACATGTGAGAGGAGGGAAGGGAACTTAGTCGTTCTTTCTCTAAAAAAAAATCAGGAGTCCAACACCCATTTAATTATTACAAGCACAACATAAAAAGAGTCGATTTACAAAAGCCATGGTTCAAGAGAGGAAGGAGACAGAAATAAAGCAAAGTTTGTCCCGTTTGGGAAGCTAGGTTATTTTTAGACCACAATTAGTGGAGCCAAGATATTAACTAACATTTCATACTTCTCAGTGTCATGCAGTCCTCGTTATCTGAGTCATCAATATCCATGGTTTTGTATTTACAAGGCCAAATTATTGCTGAACTATACATAAAAAGTCCCCGAACTTATGAGGATTACAAGGAAAAATATCTGTGAAGATGGCATGTTGCCATTGTTACATGAACTGAAACTATAAGAATTGTGGAATAATCTAAATAATAATAATAATAATACAGTACAGTCAACCCTCGTTAAAACGGACTAATAGGGGGGGAAGGGTGTCCGTTTTAGCCGATTGTCCGAATTAACTGATTTAGGGGTTAATATTGCATTATACAGCTATGTGTATGTTCATTTGAGTGCCCCGTCATAGGAGTCCGTTTTCTCTCACTTCAGCACTCCTGAGTCGTCCGTTTTCTCTTAATCTTAGAGTGCACCAGAGACTGTTATATCTTAGTAGTTACACAGAATTTGATATTGCAACTGGGGTTGCAATTGTTGAGGCAACTTAGGTATGTCTGATTACAGTTGGAATATTCAAGATCCATTGTGAGTGATGTTTAAAGCTTCAACTGTCTTTATGGTTGGTAAAACTTGTCAAGTCTGTCAGTCTGAATGGCATGTGTGAGGCCTTGTGTTTGTACAACTGCTAAATATATAAATATATAATGTTATGGTAATTATCAGAAAAACATAGGCATAACGAGGTTTATTACAAAGTGATGAAAAGGATACTGTACAGTGGCTAGTCCACAAAACATGTAGCCATGTCTCTTTATTTGAGTGCCCCGTCATAGGAGTCCGTTTTCTCTCACTTCAGGACGCCTGAGTCGTCCGTTTTCTCTTAATCTTAGAGTGCACCAAGGACTTTGTTATTTCTTAGTAGTGACACAGAATTTGAAATTGCAACCCCAATTGCAACTGGGACAATCCCAGAACCAGAAATTTGATATGGACAGTTCAGATTTCGTCCAATTTATCCGAAATCCGGATTAAAGGGGTCCGAATTAACGAGGGTCGACTGTACAGGTACTCCTTGACTTACGACCACCCAGACATACGACCTCCGCAGTCATATAAAATATTTTTCAACTTAGGTATTTTAGAGTCCCGACATTAGTGATCGTGCTGTGTACTGAAATTTTTTTTTGGGTAATTCCCTTTAAAATGGCTGGCAAGCGTAAAAGTGATAGTTCTCGTGGTGCCGAGAAGAAAAAAAGAGACCCATTTTATATTTTCGATGGATTATTTTCGCATTTTTGACTTACGACCTGGTCGTCGGTCTCTAACCCCGTCGTAAGTCGAGGACTGACTGTACTCTAATGTGGCTGAGAAATAAAGAAAATACAATATAAAATAAGAAAAATGAAGAGCAAGCTTGTGTATGTGTGGGAAGTGAATGTATGCATGGGCTCTTGGAGGCAGTGAACTGTAACTGGTCACCAACTTGCCACCCAATAGCACTCAGAGCGGCTGAGGCTGAGCTGTGAGCTATGTTACGTTTATTTTTAACTCATAATTTCATATAGACATATGTAATTTTCTTGAATTTTTTACTCTGTTACATGCACACACAATCTTCATTACAGAATGTGCAATAAAATAATAAATCATTATCATAAGGTCATAAACATAAAGGGAATAAAAATTTCTTTGAGTGCAGGAGTTAGCCTACAGATTGTGGGAGGAGGAGGGAGAGGTGTGGGGGATCTCAGCTGCTCGTCTCCTGTGTCTTGCGTGTAGTGAAACGATTGCCAGATTGCATTGCAGTATTTCTGTTTTATTTTATTTATTCGTATTATTTTTATTTATTCTTCAGACTTAATGGTACACTATACACACAACCCTTCTAATGATGAAAGGTAAAAAAATATTCCCTTTGAATGTTATTTACTATCGTATGCTCCCAATCAAACCCTATTTCAATTATTTCCTATGGTCAGAAATTCTCCGCTTTTTAGTGCTTATTTTCCTTTCACTAATAGCAGCAGATAATGAGGATCCCCTGTATATCCTCATGAAGGCATCTTGAGAAGAAGGTCCTACTATAGGACCAAGATCCTGCTTATATGATAGAAGAAAAAGATATGTTTCAGGAAAGCCAAAGAAAAAACAAAGGTCATGAGATTTATCTATGCAGCCTGGTATATCAATTTAATTACCCTAGTAATCAACGTAGAAACAAACTTTCAAAGCTTTATATTCTGACTTTAGAATCAAACCCAAGAGACCCTTTTTAAGGAGTTTTGTGTCAGCACACAAATGAGTGTCAAAGAGGGAATTGTATCCATTTTTGTGATGGATGAACCTGAAGATAAAGAAATGCCTGACTCAGTGGCTCTTCTACCTTAAAGAATGACATTCTTTTGCAGGAGAATCATTATGAGATCCAGTTATGCTTGGAAGAGAAGCTGTTTCAATAGCAACTTGCCATTGTATCCTCATATAATTAACACAAGTTCTGTCATGAAGGATTAGAGCACTTTTTAAGTTCTTTGTCATTCACTATGCTCATAACTACAAATCAGGGACTAATCCTGAAACCCCATTTCATAGCCCAGCACAGATTGGGTACATAATTCATATGCCGTAAACAAGTTTAAGGGGCTGAACCACTGATGTGGTTGACAGGTGGTAATATAGAAACAAATTCCAAACCAACTAATTCAGATAAACATACTAAAATTAGTTTATCTTTCTAAATGCAACCCTAGTACCTTAAAAAAAGAGGGTGGGGAATGCAACGGTTACCACTCAAGGCTGAAGGCAGAGTTAAAATCTTAAAGATCATACAGTATACCATTTTAAAATAATTTTCACACTCAGCAGATTTGATACAGTAAATCCACAGCAAGCTTTAAAGTGTGCAAAGTGCTACACAAATAACAGATTGAAGCACAAATGTAACAGTGCAACATGTGCTGAATTCCACTCTGTCCTTTCTCGTGCTTAGAGGACTTCACAACAAACATTTTCAATATTTATATATGAAAAAACAAGGATGACCAAGACTTGGCCATAAGCTGTGTCAGCACAGGTTAGTTATCATGGGCAGGACAGATAGATTTTTCAGTGGGTGAGTGAATCAGGGTCAACAGAAATGACTGACACAACTGAAAAAATAAAAAGTAATTTGAACTTAAAACTCCTTCCTAGATCCTAAACTGCACTTCAATACACATGCATTAAAGCCTGCATTACTATTAGTTTACTGAAAACACATACGACAGAGCGAACCTGTGGTGGGTGACGACCGGAGGAAAATGCTTCTCGCTGGGCAGTCTGCAGCGCGAGTGAAGTTAATCAGTTAAATGCTTAAGTTCTAAATGTATTTTTAGCATGGAAAGTAAATAATAATACTTGGAGGATATCCTTTCTTCCAAAACCATATAATACTATACACAAATAAGATAAAACAAATTTAATAAGAAACTCTGAGGCCGACCTTTCACAGTTTGTCGGAGTTGATTGATTTCCTCATCTGTCAGGGAAAAATCTTGGTTCTTGAGGTCTGTCATAAGAGATTCTGTTGTCTTCTCTAGGGCAGCAACTCCCCTTATTCCTTCTACTAACTGCACAGGCTGTAGATAATGTTAAATTTATTAAAAATAAATAAATCATCTTCACAGGAAAAGTAATAATGTATATATAATAAAAACTGTATATATAATAAATACTGTATATATAATAAATACTGTACATATAATAAATTCTGTAGGGACCAATGTTAATGGCATAAACAACAAGGTGCCTGTGCCAGCCAAGAGATGTACAGTCACCCAAAAAAGTCCTGTCGCCTCTCGTCCTGAACCGCGAACCCCGAGATTCAGACTTGTGAACCCGAAGCAGTAGACACTGATAATTTATTGTCCATAAATGCTTTGGATTCAAGAGTCTGAATCTCGGGGTTCAGGGTGAAAGGCAACAGGACTCTTTTGGTGACTGTACTTTGGTCCAGGACCTGGTAGGTCTGAAATTATATGATTATTGGCTGGTTGCATCCAGATTTTCAGGTTCACATGTTGAATATTCCTCTAAACTAAAGATGTAAGAATGCACCCTTAGTATAAAATTACATCCAACAATAACAATAAAATTACAGATATTTTACCTTTTCTAATTTAAATACAGACTATTGTACTCATTCTTTGCACAAATTTATCATGGACAAAAATAAACTTTACTGGTAATGTAAACACAGTAAGATCCCTCTAAGTCTGATTTTGCAAGCTGGAAGAGACTCTGAGAGTCTGGCTTAAGGGGGGTCGCACCAGGCGGAGCTAGGCGAGACGTCAAATACTGTGTCATGTACTCTGTGTTTTACTTGTATTCATTGCCTCCCTAGTCTATTATTATGGTGTCTCAAGCAATCAAACATAAAACAACACCACTGAGGGCCACTGGAAGAAAAGGAATGGTGCTTAAAATTACCAATTGATGAGAAACTGAAGATATGTGATAGAATTGATGTTGGGATATCCATGATTGTGATCTGTGAGGAGTTTGGGTTGAAGCAGAGTACTTTTCACGACATCAAGAAGGCTAAGCAGAAGTTGAGGGACTAGGCTTTGAAGCGAGATGTTGGTACAGCTAAGAAGAGTAAGAATAGGATTACAGCCCTGAAATATGAACAACCTGACCATGCAGTGTACCGGTAACATAATCAAGCCTGCACTGCTAGACTTCCTGTGTGTCACATTAGAATTCAGTCAGCTGCTGAGCACCTTGCAGTTCACCTTAATATCCACAACTTCAAAGCAAGCAAAGGGTGGTTATTCAAGTTTGGGGATGTATCACTGCCTAGTGAATCTCAAGATTGTCAGAAAGTCTTAGTACTGACATGACGAGTGTACAGCCCTTCAGGGAAAAACTTAAAGCATTAGTGAAAGATTGGACTGCTCCTGAGTCAACTGTACAATGAAGATGAGGCTGGCTTTTATTGGGAGTAATACCCAAGATATCCAGGTTAGAGGCTCATGTTCCAGGTAGGAGGTCTGCAGCATTTCTGCATTGTTGTATGCCAATGCAGATAAGGGTCACAGGAATAACTAGTGATCATTGGTAGAACTAAGCATTCCTTGTTATCAAGAATGTCATGGACAATCTTTCTGTGCATTACAAAGGTACTGTAATATGAGTGCTTGGTTTACTGTACTAAGAACTTATTTAAGTGGTGGTTCCATAAGCACTTTATACCTGAAGTGGTTAAGTTCCAGATGGAAGTTCTGAAAATTGAGCACGAGTGTGAAACCTTTCTACTCCTGGATGATGCGCCTGCGCACCCTAACGTGTAGGATTCGTGTAGTGAGGACGGTAAAATAAAAGTGATGTTCCTACCTGCTAACATAACTTCTGTGTTACAACCGATGGATCAGGGTGTGATTGAGTCCTGCAAGACTGTACAGGAAGAAACAAATGAAAGACTGCCTAGTAGTACAGGAAACTGACCAAGATTTGGTGGAGGACACAAGGGGCACACATTTTACAAAATTTCAAGAATTTCAGTTTATGTAATGCTATTTACAATGTGGCTGATGCTTGGAAACAAGTGTCTGTTGTCTACCTTAGCTAATGTGTAAAGAAAATGATAGAGGGCATTGCTGTTGACGTGATCTTCCTTGGTTTTTGAGTGGATGATTTCACTGACCTTACACATAAGATGATGAGATGGATGTAGCAAAATATGTAACAGAAGAGGATATTGCGGCTAGTGTTGTGGAAACACTTGATAAAGTAGAGGAAGACATGAGTGAGGATGACTCAGCAGATGCCAAGAGTAAGTTATCTGAGGTATGAGATGGTCTGGACAAAACACTGTTGTAGATTGAAAGTCAGAGGATCAGAACTGCAGATGTACTACCCAGGGCTGAGGGACTTGTGCACTTGTGTGACCAATCAGCAACATACACAACTGAATATATGCACCTGTGTGATCAATCAGAAAAATGCACAACTGAAACAAGTTAAAATCCACTAATTCTTCAAGCCAAGAAAACACAAACTGTCTACTAGTAGTAATTCTCCCGCCCTTGTCTTATCAATGTCCTTTGACAGTGACGTACCTGGATCCATCTGTTAATGCACACCCTTGTTTCTCACAGTGATTAAGGCAAGAAATAAGAGCTAAATTTAAGCAAATACTGTATTACTGTAAATATAAGTGTAACTAAATATAAGTGAAACTAAACATTGTGTACAGTATAACTGCTGTACAGTAAATATAAAGTGTACTTAAATATAGGTGTGAATATAAGTATTGTATTGTACTGTACTGTAAGTGTAAGCAGCACCCGATTTTCCTCCACCTCAAGATTCATCTACCACAATAAAAGTAAGTGCAATGTAAATATGTACTGTGAACTTTTAATTTTGTTTTTGGAGCCACGAGCCCCATACAGGTACGACTTATAGAGGTCTTTCTGATATTTATGTCACATTTGTACATATACTGTATAAATCCGATTTGAGACATGTGAACAACTTTATGCAGATTTTACTATCTTGTGTCCTAGAATTACATATATCCATACCCAGGTTGAAGGAATAAACTTTGTATCTTTTGATAAGTATACAACAGAAAATACATTACCTGGAAACTAGAGAGAACAATTTCATTCTCTGAGGCATTAACTGTTCCCACATTTTCCACTATTTCGGTCAAGTCTGAGATGAACTTGGCATCATAGATCCCTCGCTCCTCCCAGATGTTGAAGATCCTTATAATCTTTGGACGAATCTTTTCATCCCTGTCAAAATTCATCCAATATATAATGACAACAACAAAAAACCATATTTGTAATTCAACTTTGACAAAACTTCAAGTGTATGTAAGTACATACTGGTACAGTATATAATGAACACCTGTGGTGTAATGGTCAGCATGCTCACCTCGCAAGCAAGCAGACCCCAGTTAGATCCCCGGGCATGGTGAAACTATGGGCAAGTTTCTTTACGCCATTTGACTCTGTCTACCCAGCAGTAATTGGGAACCTGGATGTTAATCGATTTGCGGACCGTGTTCCGGGGTAATGGTTAGCCAGTGCAGTTGGCGAGTTGTCCGGTCTTCTCGGACTATTCCTTGCCACTGGGTCAGGCAACTCGTTAACTCAGGGTGTGGTTGTTGTGTTGGCGACAGCTTCTACACCTTAAACAAATTCACGCCTCGGTAGCCCTTGAAGGGCAGGCCATCCTCGTTACACGAGGGGCAACCATTATAATAATGGGCACATAAAAAAACTGAGCATACAGTATTCTAATTCACTGTTTAAAAATACAGTATGGTTAAGATTTTTAAAGTTTGTACAAATGCTATATAATTTACGGTATGTGATAGCCCATAGAGGCGTTGTGGAGGTTAGTGATGACCTCGACAGGTCTGCCAAAAACCATTTTCCATGGCAACAATTATCTCCTGAGATGGTAGCAGAAGAGAATTAATAATATCCCAAAATGCCAGGTTATCATCTGTGTTAGGAAAATTTGATGTATTTGAAGGGTTGTATATTGGGTGAGTTGGAGAAGGAAGGGAGGTGGGGTCATCGATACCTGCCCAGCAAACACCAAGAACCCAGCACTCGCCATACACCCCTTCAAATACATCTAACTTCCTCGATATTGAGGTGCAACCTGGCATCCTAGGATATTATTCTATATCTTCTATGGACTCGGGGATAATTGTTACCAATGAAAATGGATTTTGGCATATCAGTCAAGGTTGTCACCTCATATTACAATGGGTGAAATACAGTACATACAGGTACAGTACTTATATATTTATAACACGAGAATAGTCAAAATCAGTAATCCTGGTACCAAGCAATACCTTAGGCAGATTGGGATTTAGATGAATCTTTGTCTGATATACTGTACTGTATTTGTGTGTCCATGCTTTAAAAGAATTTGATCGTTAATAATACTAATCTAAGAAAAACTGTACAAAGGACCTGTTCCTGGAAAAACAACTGTAGCAATTTGTTACACGGGTATCTAGCGGGCAGTCACAGGTGCAATAAATGTGATTGTGATGTGGAAGGAATATGAACACCGTTTGATATGTATTAAGCACTGTACTGTACACAATAAAAATTATGGTAAGAGTACAGTAAAGCTATTGATTTGAACTGTATTGTGGAGTCCCCACAAGAGCTGTACATAAAGGCACTAATGACTTTATAAAAGAAGCATATACTGTACTGTATTGGGCAACTCATGAATTCAATAAATCAATGTAACAACCAGGATTCCCAAGACTCCTTATATGTGTGACTCAGTCTGCATTACAGAAATTCCCAACACTGCCATCCCCCCCCCCCTTTACTGCTGTTCCACCATCTATATATTTGTCACTGTTTATAAAATAGACAACATAATCAAGCCACTCAGATCTGGCTCACCTCTACCCCCACCCCTCTCCAAGGGAGGAGGAGGAAGAGGGAGAGGAAGGATATGAGTTACCCAGTCAATTTTCGGTTATAAAATGAGATTTCATGCACTAGTCCCTGAATTTTATGAAGATCCAATGTAAGTTCTCCATGTGAATTTAACAATCACATTTATTTATTAGAAACTTATTAGAGGTCACTAACCTGACTAGAGGTGCTGCTTCCTTGATAGCTGTGGCAAAGTGCTGCACAAGATCTAGTAATTTTTTGCGTCGGCTGTTTTGTACGATGTCATTGCACACATAAAATAAGGTCAGTCGGTGAGGTACCTTTGCTGTAAAATATATGGCTGTAAGACATCTAGAAAATACTGAAAATATTTATTATAAACTAAATATAGAAAACTGGAGGGAAAAAGACAATTGGCAATACTGTACAGTACAGTACTGACCAAATATGCAGAAAAAATGAGAGAAAATGTTGGATTGACTTTGAAATCCAATTTTATTACTGTGATCATAAGAGGCGACTCATACAGCCAGACTATATATTTGGGATTACAACCAATCTAAACTCTTGAATAAGCAGCTAAGTGCTGCAAATATCTCCTTCCAACTCGAACCAAAACCCTTCCAAAATGGTTACTACAGTCACTTTTCAGATGTTATCAGTTTTTGTATGCCTAGGCCTACTAATTTTATAATAGCTTAATCCTAGACCACAAATCTAATCATACATAATTTTCTACTTACATCTGCACTTCCCGCCTTCAAGATTTTTTTTTTTACAATAAACACAACTTTTGCCTCAGTATTCTTCAGTACTTAAGTTTTGTTCATGCTTGGTTTAATTTTTTGTCACAGAACTGTAGATGAAACATTGAGTAAATTTCAACAATGACATTCTCTTACTCACTATCACCACTGCTTCTTGTCACATTTCCATGTTAGTGGTTTTGTTTGAGTACAGGATTTCTTAATATTGTGCAGTAATTATAAAATCAGCGTTGAGTACAGTAGCATTCCAATGATTTGCAAAATACATATTGACGTTATTAAATTAGTGAGTACCTCTATTACTACCCCTTTACTGTACAGTACGCCCGGATAATTCACGGATTTTTATTTTGCGGTAATCTATTATTCGCGGATGACACCCTGTATGTACCCAAGAATGTCTAAGGGTAGTTTTAAAGTTGCTAGCATTTTTGTGACCAGGACAGGGAGCCATTCATTCCAGAGACAGTAATTTCCTTTACCTGTATTGTATATACTGCATGTGTGTGTGTAGACACACACAAAACACATACAAATAAATAATACCCCTGTAATGGGAAAATCCTCTCACAAATAATCAAAATTTTTTGTATTAAAAATGTTGAGTCTACCCTGAAGTGTACTCCGTGCTTTATTAATAACAAAGCACGGAATGGACTTGAGGGAAGACTAATATTTTTCAAACAATTCTTTCTGATTGTACTGTATATTTGTACATACAGTTTTGTATTGTATACATTGTGTGTGTGTCATGCACACATACAGGTAAAATAAATAATTGTCCTAAGGGCAAACACATAAAAGGAATATACAGTACATTTCTTTGTACAAAAGTAAAAAAATCTACCCCCCCCCCAGGGCCAGCAAATGTGTTATTCGCGGCCATATATAGTGGAGTCGAGATAATTCTCGGGTTAGGTACCAGAAGACATCCTGAATTATCAAATCACAAATTATAGTTTAATTGGTTTAAATGGAAATAATTACCTCGTTACGATCCAGATGTAAAAAACTAAGCATAAACTGTTCCAAAACTGCTTTAATAAACACCAAATATCAAACAAAATACAGCCATCCCTTGTTTATCCATGAGGTTGTGTTCCTGAAAAACCTAATGTAAAGTGGAATTATCAAACAAGGGATAACAGCAAAGCATGGAGGGCAAACAACAGGTTCAAACGGCAGGGCGTTAAACACCGAGTACAGTATACTCCCTAATAATAAATGTTTGTTATAAACAATTTCGTAGATAAACGAATGATGTATGAACGCCAAACTTCTACTGTATATAAACGATGTGTTTCAGAGTTAAATGATTTGGTAAGCAAAATGTGAGCCGAATTTAAACAAATTTCAAATTGCATATCATAAAAGAAAAAAAAACTATAAGATTAACAATAAACTTGATACATTGCATAGTTATTATAAAATACAATGGCACATATTTTATGAACCAAAAATAATGCCTTCTACACTCAAACTATCTTCTGGGCGATGCGAAACAGTTAAGCAGGGCAGTCACCCAGCTGACTCAAGACACATGGCTGCTGCTGCGCCGTGTGTATGCCGTAACGTCACATTGGGGGAGGGAATCAGGGAGCACGGCTGGGCTTGCGACGCAGTTATAGCCCACTGCCTCCACAAATATGTTCACACACACACACACACTATTCATTTTTTCTTATTTTATAGTTTTATGTTACTGTATATTTTCTTTATTTCTAAGCCACATTAGAGTACAGTATTGCAATGATTTTTCCACAAGATGGCATCTCACAGGCCACCTCATCCCCAGTTTTTCCCCTTCCCAGTGAGCCAAGATGTCACTAAACTGAATGTTGACTTAATGTTAAGTGAGAAAGGTTGTCAATCATTTTTTTTCACTAAACCGAATTAACGTTAAATGAATTATCACTAAATGAGGGATACTGTACCTGTTTATCCAGAAAATAGATATTATACAAAAAGTACTTCTATATTACATAAACAGCTCCTTCCCTCTCATAATCATCCTCTGGGTGACACCATTACACCAACATGGAGACAGGAAGGTGCCGGGGCTTGCTGGCAATTTAATACGACACAATTATTCATCTGGGGTCAAGTGTGATTTTTTGGGAGGGAAAGGGGGAGAATTGATTATTTTACGATAATGTTATAAGACCATGTGAGTGCAACAGGTGCTACAGGTTGGTCAAGCTGTCCCAGTGATGTGACCAAGACAAAGGAATGAAGTGAGGCACAGAAATAACACCTTGACTCATTTAAACCCTTTGTCTTGAATGATAACAGCAGTTGCTTAAAGAGCCCTTGAAAGAGCTTGGGTTAGAGCTGGAAAGAGCTGTTTACAGCACTTACTGGTAGCTGATATATCAAGGCATTATATATATGGGTTCTAAATCCCATAGATTTAGTCTGGCTGTATAAGTCCCCCAGAAAGGTAATTAAATTAGTGATCACACATTACCAACAAAAAATATACACACAGTGAACACTTCTGTTATCCACTACACAAAACTTAGGTTATAACTCAAAACTGGAATGACTTATTGAGGAACTGGCAGCAACAAAGAATACTTTAGCAGCTTCTATTCTTTACATTAAAATTCTTTAAATGTACCCAAGGTTAAAAATATGACTTAAACTTCATGATAGAAAATCTTAAAAAAAATAATTTACTTCAGTATTACACTTATCACACATTATATACGAAAAAAAATACACTCACATTTGCGAACCGAGCGAGACCACGCCTGGATTATAGAATGATGATGGTTCTTGTGTTGAAGACACCACCGAGACAATGTCTGGATGTCCTCTGATGTCTCTCTCACTGCCGAGAGACGCTTCTCCAAGGACCTCGAGTCCATCTTGTTTTCTTTGGTCTTACTCATTTTAAAATTGAGAAAAGGAAGTTGCACAAATATTTCTTATGCTTCCCTCTTCCTTACCTAAGCACTTCTTGACTGCTTCTCTGTTTCCATTATTTCTTAATCTTTGAAAATAATCTTATTCACTACTTTTCCATATAATAATATATAAGGATTTTTTTAAAGTTCAGACACTTAAATCATTCATCATAAAACTAACATCAGTGAAAGACATCACCTCATCCTTATATTCTATTGACAAATTCCATCTTCAAGGGCCCTTAAAAAATTGGTCAACATTATAATACAGTATACAGTACAGGCACAACTTTAATAAAATTATTTCCCTAATGTAGCAATGCACTGTACACTAAAATATGAGTGCAAACCTAAGGACGATTTCTAAATACACATGATACATATAGTATTTGCAAGAAACTAGCATACATACTGTATAACTTGAATTTCACTCTCTGGTAGATGGTACAGTCCTAACAATTAAATACGTACAGTATTGTGGTTTGGCTACCACAATACAATACCATCAGTAGACAACATCCAACACTCTCTTGGCAGCTACTGACTTCACCCTCTTTCAAATTCACTGCACACTACAGCTAATCTGTGGAGAGAAATTACAATAATTAGTGACAGTACTGTACAGTACAGTGCATTTTTTCATTTTATGCCCGTGTATATATTTCTCCAGATCTACTTATCTATCCATCAATCTACTGGTAGAGTACTTAATATCAATATCACTGATCCACTTCAATATTTAGTAGTACAGTATAACCATTGACAAAAGCTTCCCAGTGACTAACCAAACATTAAGTGATGGAACATTTCCCCGTGACCTTATCATACAAACTGAATTACAGTACTGTATTAACACCCTAATTTACCAACCTAACCTTGAAGTGTTATTATGTGTTGAAAGGACAATGCTGGGAATTGTTTGTGTGTATTGTACAGTACTGTAATGGTAAACTAATACAGCACAGGTTACAGATACTGGGTACTGTATTATGAAAATTTTAAATCCTTTACCTTTTGGGGGTTTTCTTAATCTAAGATAGATTTATCATAAAGGCTTCCTAAACTTTCTGTTTCTCAGTGAGTAGAAAATGAAAGCATTAATGTGGATGAAACATTCCCTTTCATGTACCGGTAAAGAAGTGAAAAACAATGATGGCGCTTAAGGTGGCAGGAAGTGTCTTCATTTACAGTGGGAAAAAATAATATAACAAATGTGCTATTTCTTCACCTGACTTTTTTTATTCTTGAGGTAAAAAAAAAATATTTGTCAATAGATATTTAAATTTGGTATCTGGCTAACCTGGACCCCAGTCATAGAATGATGATGGAAACTGCAGTAGGCCTATTGGCCCATGCTATGCAGTTCTTGCTTACACCAAACCATTTACACTCCTATAGCTATCTGTCCAACCTATATTTGATGAGTCCCAATGGGTTCGAGTTAATGATGGTTGTTTGGTAACTTGTTCCACTCATCTACAACTCAATTTTTTCAAGGCAGTTTACTGTTGCCTGTTCATTAACATATACAGTAGTTACTGTATTTGTAAAATGAATCAGGAATCTCATTCAAAATTTTCAGGTTATACATAATACTGCCCTTACTAGGGATAATAGTTTAGGCATTACCCGATTTATGAAAGGACTCCGTTCCTGAAAAACATTTAGTAAATCGGATCACATTTTCCGAAAACTTCCATTATACTGTACAGTAAAAGCTGAGATACATTCCTAAAAAAAAAATCTCTATTCACCCAAAAATCTTTAATTGCCACAAAACGTGCTTTTCATTATAATTTTTTTTGGTGTACACAATGATTAAATGCCAAAACAAACACCATAAGTAAAATACAGTACAGTATAGGACAATAATATTTTATATCTGTACTGTACTTACAAGAAACTGATTGAGATTTAAATCAAAGTGAACAGTATGAAACACTACTTTAAGTCAGCATATATAGCAAGTGTATTACTGTAGGACAGGCACCCCCCCAGAGTTATGGCTGTCCGAGTTATGGTCATCCGCACTTACGATCATCGCCCTATTATATTAAAAATAAATAAAAAGCAACTTACAACCGCTTGTAATACTTACGAACCAAGTGTGGAGCGCTCTACTTTGTACGGCCCACCGTGCCAGCTCACCCACTGAGCCAGCTAATTCGTGTACAAAGAAATGTATACAGCTGCTCCTCGACTTACGATGAGGTTAGGGACCCAAATCCAGGTCGTAAGTCGAAAATGCTTAAATAATACATAGAAAATCTAAAATGGGTGTCTCTTTTTCTTCTCAGCACCACAAAACTCTCACTTTTAAGCTTGCCAGCCATTTTAAAGTGAATTACAAACGAAAATTTTGTCAATACACAGCGCAATCACTACTGATGGGACTCGAAAATACGTAATTCGACAAAATTTTGGAACGACTGAGGGTCGTATGTCCGGGTGGTCGTAGGTCGAGTATGTTGTAAGTCGAGGAGTGGCTGTATTCTCTTTATGTGTTTGCCCTTATGACAATTATATTTTTTACCTTTTTTCACATTATGTACATGTAGGATGGTATGTGCATGTAACCGAGTAAAAATAAATGAAGAAAGTTATGTATATCTATTCGGAAATACGAGTTGAAGAACAACCTTAACACCTCACAGCTTGGCCCAGTAGCCTGGTGGTTACAGTGACAAGTCCAACTTGCCTACAATGCTGCCAGCAATGTTAAGAGACACAAATGTGAAAAGAAAGTTATCTGTTAACCCTTCATTTATATTAGGTACTCTATTACATTACATATCATTTTAAAATATGGAGTAAGAAAGCAAAAAGCTGGGTGTGATTAGAAATGAAGTGAAAAGGAGTGTTGCCAAGCACTCCTCAACAGCTGATCTTTATCTTTAACTCACTACCACGCAGTCACACATGTGTGCATCAGCATGCATTACAGCCACCCATCGACTTACGACCTACTCGACTTACGACCACCGCAGTCGTATAAAATATTTTTCAAATTACGTATTTTCGAGTCCCGACGTTAGTGATCACGCTGTATACTGACAAAATTTTCGTTTGTAATTCCCTTTAAAATGGCTGGCAAGCGTAAAAGTGAGAGTTCTTGTGGTGCTGAGAAGAAAAAGAGACACCCATTTTAGATTCTCAATGTATTATTTTCGCATTTTCGACTTACGACCTGGTCGTCGGTCCCTAACCCCGTCGTAAGTCGAGGACTGACTGTATGTATCTTTGTGCTTGTGTATATCCAGCTGCTTAAGTGTCCCATACAAGTATCACAAACTATGCAATATCACGTAAACTAGGGCTTATAGCAAACAAGCTAACACGCGGGTGACACCTGTTTAATTAATTGTCAAGTCAGGGATAGTAAGTGGTCAGGTTAAATGTTGTTAACTTTCAGCTCTCGTTCATTCTTTAACGAGCGCTATCAACGATGGCTTCTGTACCTTGCCGTTGTTCAGGATGTCGACAAGAGGTCCGACCTAGACAGGACGCCTTGTCCTGTAATGTGTGTTGCAGATGGCGACATAAGAGTCGTGGTACGGGAATGAAAAGGGAAGAATATTGCCAATTAACAAAACAATTAAGGAATGGCAAAGAATTAAAGTGGATTTGCCCTGCTTGCACCATTACTACAGATGTTAAGTTACTGAGCCATCAGTTACTGAGTTGACAGCAGTTGAAGACTTCGATGTTGACAAACTACAGAGAGACTAGACATTGCCGACTTCAGGAGTTGTACCCCTTTGTACTTATGGATATACATTTTAACCGACTCCATTTGTATTTTAAACGAATTCATGGAGGCACCTGTATTTTATGTACATTTAGATACAAGTGGACATGTTACGCTGGGTAAGAATCGTCGGTAAATTTTCATTTTCGCCCAATATGGCTCTCAAGTTGAGCAATGTGTTTTTCCGATGGCTTAAGAGATTTTTAAGACACTTTTCTTCCATGACATTTCCCTCGCAAATGACTTTAATATACAGGGGAATCCAGGCCCCCCGGTTAGGTTAGGTAATTTTAGGTCATTTGCGAGGGAAACGTCATAGAAGAAAAGTGTCTTAAATTGGAAAAATTTTGGTTTCGGTCATCCCTTTATTTAGATATCCAAACTACGTGTATGTATATTTCTGACAGATATGAAGGTCCAAATTGTTCAAAACGCATCAAAAACCATCGGAAAAACAGGATATCTAACCTAATCTAACCGAACATAACCAACCTAACCTAACTGGATGACCGAAACTAAAATAATACCCTAAAATAGTCTCAACTGTCGAAAAAATGTATTGCTCAACCCAAGAGCCATATTGGTTGAAAATGCAAATTTACTGACCGAATCGCCTGGGTACGAGTAGTCCTGCACCCATTCCTTACACTCACAGATATAGTTCTGGAAAGAGGCTATTACGCCTGTGCATCCAGCTTTAAACTTTTAGCTGAATTTTAGCTTTGCAATCATATAGCAAATCCCAATTTCTCCAAGCTTTGTCCAAGTTTCTTCCAAAAGTTATGACTGACAGAGATTCAATTACACACTGGGGTAACACATTCCAATTACTTATTAGTCTATTACAAAACGAGTTCTTTCTCTTGCTTAGTCGTGATCTATCCTTAAATATCTTCTCATGATGACCTGAAACACTTCCGGGTTGTACACACCACACAAATTCTTGTACGTTTCTATCATGTCTCCTCTTGGTCTTCTGTAAGCTAACGTGAGTAATCTCAGCTTCCTTAATCTTTCTTCATAGGTCAGGTTCTTCAATGTTGGCACCAGTTTACTTGCTGTTCGCTGCACGTTTTCTATTGCTTTTATGTCCTTAATTAAATATGGACACCAGACTTAATTAGCATATTCCAGATGGGGTCTAATGAGTGCCACATATAAAGATTTGAAAATTTCCTTATCTAGGGATATAAATTTATGTCTTATGAGGCCAACTAGGTCATTTTTTGTTAACCACCCATCACCTTTTTTCACATGAAAAATATATTTTTTCGATAGTTTTCTTGCTGTTTTAGATGATTCTGACATTTATCTTTGGGGTAAACCACTTTTTTTTTTTAGTTAGGTTAGGTAGGCTTACCATAATTTTTTAAGCCCAAATCGGGACAAGAATTAATTTAAGGAGGCCATGGTATTATACTACAGTACATATATTTGTCTTTTACTTTGACTTTTTACACGGAAGAAAATAATTTTGGTAACATAATAATGAAAAAAAATAGATAAACCTAAATTCCTTTGTTAAATACACAATTTAAAGAATTTTTTTAATAAGTTGCAAATAATATAATTCACAAAAAAAAAAAAAATACAAATTGCATTCTTTCTCCAATACAGTCTCTCCCCGACTTACGACAAGGTTAGGGACCCAATTCCAGGTCGTAAGTCAAATTGGCCGTAAGTCGAAAATGCGAAAATAATACATAGAAAATCTAAAATGGGTGTCTCTTTTTCTTCTCAGCACCACAAAACTCTAACTTTTAAGCATGCCAGCCATTTCAAATGGAAAAACAAACAAAAATTTTGTCAGTACACAGCGCAATCACTAACGTCGGGACTCAAAAATACGTAATTTGAAATTTTTTTGGTACGACTGGGGCGGTCGTATGTCTGGGTGGTCGTAAGTCGAGGAGTGGCTGTATATTCTTTTCTTTGACCACCCATACTTCTCACTAAATAGTACAGTACTTTCTTTACCATGTTTCTGTTATTTATTTTTACATAAAACTGTGAGCAAGATAAAATAACATTCCTTCTACTTTGACTTTTTACACGGACAAAATGTTCAGGAACATAATAATGAAAAATATCGGCTAAATTCCTTTGTTTCAAATGACATAGAAAGAAAAATTGCATTAAGTTGTAAATCATATACAAGGGTATACACAAGTATACTTTACCACAATAATACACAATTTACTCCTTTTCCTTTGTCTTTGACCATCCATACTCCTCACTCGATAGTACTTTCTTACACATCTTTCTGTCATTTCTTATTTTGTCATAGAACTATGAGCAAGTTAAATCAATATTAACTTTGCAGGAAAGCAAAACTTTAACAGTACTCTCTGCTATGACGTGTGAGAAGGAATAGAGCGTAGACATAGAGGAAGAATGGCGAGGGGAGAGGGTGGGGGTAGGAGAGGGAGAGCCCTGGGCCCTCTATCTATCTTCCTACTCTTTCTCTCTCTCCCCCGGGACAATCTTACGAACCGAACCGGGACCCCGGGAAAGCTCAAAATCGGGACTGTCTTGGTTAATCCGGGACGTATGGTAAGCCTAGGTTACCTGACCTAACCTAACATGCCACGTCCTAACCTAACCTGACTGAACCCAAAGGTAAATGTCAGAATCATCTAAAACAGCAAGAAAACTAGCGAAAAATTATATTTTTCATGTGAAAAAAGGTGATGGGTGGTTAACGAAAAATGACCGCCAACCATCATATTCGCCTTGTTTATTTTCTCTGCTAGATGTCCTGAGAAATTCAGCTTGTTATGTACCTTATTGCTGTGACACCACTATGTGTGAAAACCAGTGTTCTTAAGTAAAAGTTGGCTTAAATAGGAGAAAAAGGCCATGTGTTAGTTACAAGACTAGCGAGGTCATCTTAAAACTATATCTTGCGTTTGTGAGACCTCACTTGGATTATGCAGTTCAATTCTGGTCACCGTATTACAGAATGGATATAGAATTCTTGGAAAGAATTCAGAGGAGAATGACAAGACTAATCCCGGGCATTAGGAACCTTTAGTACAGAGACAGGTTAAAACATCTTAATTTGCACTCCCTCGAGAGACGTAGAGTGGGGGGCGACATGATCGAGGTGTATAAATGGAAGTCAGGGCTGAACAAAGGTGACATTATAAAGGTACTCAAACTATCCAACCAGGAGCAAACTCGTAACAATGGTTTTAAATTAGACAAATTTAGATTTAGGCACGAAATAGGTAAACATTGGTTTGGAAATAGAGTAGTGGACGACTGGAACAAGTTACCACATATCATCATTAACTCGAATACCCTGGATAGCTTCAAACATAGGTTGGATGGATATATGAGCAATAGGGGCTGGGTGTAAATGGGACTGCCCAGTATGGGCCAATAGACCTGCTGCAGTTTCCTTCATTCTTATGTTATTATGTTAAGTTGTACAAGGTCCAGAAGATAACCACCTAGTTGCCATAAAAAGCTGATTTAGATAAAGAATGATTAGCAAATGATAATACATGTTAGATTTGACTAGGAATGAACCACATCGCAGTCCTTCCTAGCCTGAATAATAATCCTTTTTGATTTGTTTAGATCTGGTTGTACAAGTCATCACATCACCTAAAATGGTAACATACTGGTTCTAGCCCATTGGCCTAACCCATATTCATACAGTAAGGCCATTCACTGGTATATAACATATTTACCACCATTACAGGATAACCACTTTTGCAAGTTTTCGTATTTACGGCGTGCAAAGCAAAATGAAATGCATATGTTTCTGCTCAGCACTTGAACCAACTACGTACTGTACTGTGATCAAGCTTTAACAAAAAATAAAAACTCAATCTGCCGACTACTCAAGCTCATTCATATGTCACCAAAAGTCCCTAGTAACCAGTTAAATAATTATTATTTACACACCTAGTGAAGGACTTATTGGCAAATTATGTATGAACTTCTGTAAGTTATTAGATACCGAAAGCTGGTGCATCTTACCTTAATGTGGTATTTCCACTACTCCGGTATCATTTAATCACTTTGAAACTCGATTAGTATTTTCCACAATAATCACGTAACTGATAGCTTTCCATTATAAGATATGGCAAGTCGTACTTTGCAAGAAAATTAAAAATTTTCCATCACAGTCGAGCTCATGAGGAACCAACACAAAACGCAAACAAACATGGTGGTGAAGCAGCAGCGGCCACACAGCTTGTGCACCTTCCTCTCTCCTTAGGTCGTCATTCACCACCGAATATCTTTAAATGGAATGAAAAATTTCATCATTAAATCTAAGTGGTTACATTAGTAAATAATTTGGCTCAGTTAAAGACTTCTACTGCTATATTTGTGAGCATTCGTTTTGTATTTAGGGAAAATGTGATTTTTAATTGTCTAAAGAAAATGTACAAAGCGGAATACTAAGTGAGTAACTACGATAGATAGATAGATAGATAAATAGATAGATAGATAAATAGATAGATAGATAGATAAATATATAGATAAATAGATAGATAGATAGATAAATAGATAGGTAGATAGATAGATAGAGACCTTCATATAAATTCACATTGGTTCAGCATGTATAGAGAGTTCAGGTAAATAAAACTAGTTTTACAGGCTTTCCGGAATATTTCTTGACAACTTCTACACCTTAAACAAATTCACGCCTCGATGGCCCTAGGGTCGGCCATCCTTGTACACTGTGGGGTACGTTTGTTTGGGTTCACACTCAGGATGGGATGGAGAAAGGAAACTCACAATGTGCTCTCTGTATACATGTTGTATTGGATGTACAGTGCAGCTTGGTGCTGGGAAGGCAGCATGGTTACAAGCGTGATGTAGAGAGAACTGGTTGGTGAGGATGCTCAGAGAAGGACAGCTTGTGGGTCGCCAAGCTCGCCGGCGGGAGAGAGGACCGCCAGGCAGCGGCGGAGGAGGTGGTGTTGCTTGCTGGTTGGTGTAGGTAAAAACAGACAGGTCACCACGAGGTCAGGTCTTTTATAGCGGAGGTTAGGCGTGGGTAGATAGTTGACCCCCGCTCCGTGGAATTCGCGGGGTCGGCTACTCAGCGACAAACAGCGTTTGTAGGGGAGAAATCCACTACAACACTACACTATCTCCACCACTACACTACACTATCTCCTCCACCACTACACTACACTATCTCCTCCACCACTACACTACACTATCTCCTCCACCACTACACTACACTATCTCCTCCACCACTACCCTACACTATCTCCTCCACCACTACACTACACTATCTCCTCCACTACACTATCACCTATTTTATTATCCGCCCTTCTCCTATTCCCCATTTATTCTTGTATATCTGTCAGGGTGTCTGTATGTCTGTGTGGGTGTCTGTATGTCTGTGTGGGTGTCTGTATGTCTGTGTGGGTGTCTGTGTGGGTGTCTGTATGTCTGTGTGGGTGTCTGTATGTCTGTGTGGGTGTCTGTATGTCTGTGTGTGTGGGTGTCTGTATGTCTGTGTGAGTGTCTGTATGTCTGTGTGTGTCTGTGTGTCTGTGTGTGTGTGTATGTCTGTGTGGGTGTCTGTATGTCTGTCAGGGTGTCTATGTCTGTGTGGGTGTCTGTCAGGGTGTCTGTATGTCTGTGTGGGTGTCTGTATGTCTGTCAGGGTGTCTGTATGTCTGTGTGTGTGTCTGTATGTCTGTGTCTGTGTGGGTGTCTGTATGTCTGTGTGGGTGTCTGTATGTCTGTGTGGGTGTCTGTATGTCTGTGTGGGTGTCTGTATGTCTGTCTGTTGTGTCTGTCAGGGTCTGTGTCTGTGTGGGTGTCTGTATGTCTGGTGTGTCTGTCTGTCTGTGTCTGTGTGGGGTCTGTATGTCTGTGTGGGTGTCTGTATGTCTGTGTGGGTGTCTGTATGTCTGTGTGGGTGTCTGTATGTCTGTGTGGGTGTCTGTATGTCTGTGTGGTGTGTGTCTGTATGTCTGTATGTCTGTGGGGTGTCTGTATGTCTGTCTGTCTGTAGGGTGTCTGTATGTCTGTCTGTAGGGTGTCTGTATGTCTGTGTGGGTGTCTGTATGTCTGTGGGTGTCTGTATGTCTGTGTGGGTGTCTGTATGTCTGTGTGTGGGTGTCTGTATGTCTGTGTGGGTGTCTGTGTGGGTGTCTGTATGTCTGTGTGGGTGTCTCTGTATGTCTGTGTGGGTGTCTGTATGTCTGTGTGGGTGTCTGTATGTCTGTGTGTGTCTGTGTGTCTGTGTGGGTGTCTGTATGTCTGTGTGGGTGTCTGTATGTCTGTGGGTGTCTGTATGTCTGTCAGGTGTCTGTATGTGGGTGTCTGTATGTCTGTCTGTATGTCTGTGTGGGTGTCTGTATGTCTGTGTGTGGGTATGTCTGTATGTCTGTGTGGGTGTCTGTATGTCTGTGTGGGTGTCTGTATGTCTGTCTGTGGGTGTCTGTATGTCTGTATGTCTGTGGGTGTCTGTATGTCTGTCAGGGTGTCTGTATGTCTGTCTGGGTGTCTGTATGTCTGTCTGTATGTCTGTCTGGGTGTCTGTATGTCTGTCAGGGTGTCTGTCTGTCTGTGTGGGTGTCTGTATGTCTGTGTGGGTGTCTGTATGTCTGTGTGGGTGTCTGTATGTCTGTGTGGGTGTCTGTATGTCTGTGTGGGTGTCTGTGTGGGTGTCTGTATGTCTGTCTGGTGTCTGTATGTCTGTCAGTGTCTGTATGTCTGTGTGGGTGTCTGTATGTCTGTCTGGGTGCCTGTATGTCTGTCTGGGTGTCTGTATGTCTGTGTGGGTGTCTGTATGTCTGTGTGGGTGCATGTCTGTGTGGGTGTCTGTATGTCTGTGTGGGTGTCTGTATGTCTGTGTGGGTGTTTATGTCTGTGTGGGTGTCTGTATGTCTGTCTGGGTGTCTGTATGTCTGTCTGGTCTGTGTCGTGGGTGTCTATGTCTGTGTGGGTGTCTGTATGTCTGTCAGGGTGTCTGTATGTCTGTGTGGGTGTCTATGTCTGTCCGGGTGTCTGTATGTCTGTGTCTGTGTGTGTCTGTATGTCTGTGTCTGTCTGTGGGTGTCTGTGTGGGTGTCTGTATGTCTGTGTGGGTGTCTGTATGTCTGTCTGTGTCTGTATGTCTGTGTGGGTGTCTGTATGTCTGTGTGGGTGTCATGTCTGTGTGGGTGTCTGTATGTCTGTCAGGTGTCTGTATGTCTGTCATGTCTGTGTGGGTGTCTGTATGTCAGGGTGTTGTATGTCTGTGTGGGTGTCTGTATGTCTGTGTGGGTGGTATGTTGTGTGGGTGTCTGTATGTCTGTGTCAGTGTGTCTGTATGTGTCAGGGTGTCTGTATGTCTGTCAGGGTGGTGTCTGTATGTCTGTGTGGGTGTCTGTATGTCTGGTGTGTGTCTGTATGTCTGGTCTGTGTGTGTCTGTATGTCTGTGGGTGTCTGTGTGGGTGTATGTGGGTGTCTGTATGTCTGTGTGGGTGTCTGTATGTCTGTCTGTGGGTGTCTGTATGTCTGTCAGGGTGTCTGTATGTCTGTGTGGGTGTCTGTATGTCTGTGTGTGGGTGCCTGTATGTCTGTGTGGGTGTCTGTATGTCTGTCAGGTGTCTGTGTCTGTCAGGTGTCTGTATGTCTGTGTGGGTGTCTGTATATGTCTGTGGGGTGTCTGTATGTCTGTCTGGGTGTCTGTATGGGTGTCTGTATGTCTGTCAGTGTGTGTATGTCTGTCTGTCTGTGTCTGTGGTGTCTGTATGTCTGTCTGGTGTCTGTATGTCTGTCAGGGTGTCTGTATGTCTGTGTGGGTGTCTGTATGTCTGTCAGGGTGTCTGTATGTCTGTGTGGGTGTCTGTAGGGGTGTCTGTCTGGTGTCTGTATGTCTGTCTGGTGTCTGTATGTCTGTCAGGGTGTCTGTATGTCTGTCTGGTGTCTGTATGTCTGTCTGTCTGTCTGTTTCTATTCTCTCTGTGAGTCTGTCATTTTACCCGCAAGGAAAACCACAGTTATGACTCCTCCTCCTCCTCCTCCTCCTCCTCCTCCTCCTCCTCCTCCTCTTCTTCCTCCTCCCCATTTTCTTTGAATTCTCCTTTTTTTCCTTCTCTCCTTGAACCGCCTCACTCTTTTTAATCCCCTTTCCTTCCGTCCTTCCTTCCCTCGCCTTTCTCTCGCCTCCCTATCTTTCTTGTACATTCTTCCCTCTTCCCTTTTTTTAAGCCTTCATTCCTGTTCCCCTTCATCCCACCCCTTTCTCTCCCTTACTTCACCTTTCCTTTCCCTCTTCCCTCCTCTCATCTACTTTTAAACTCCTCCTCTCTCCTACCCTCTTTTTTTTCCTCCCCTGTCCTTCTCCCTCTCCCCTCTATTTTCTCTCTTCCCATTCTATCCAATCCTCCCCATCCTCTCCCCAATCTCTACCTCTTTCCTTCTCCCCTGCCCTCTATCACCCCTCACTCTCCCCTCCCCTACTCGTTCTCCCTCTCCTTCCCCTCTCTACCCTTCCTTCCCTCTCCTACCTCCATTCTTTACTAACTTCAACACTTAAAGTTTTCTCATTGTGTCGTCACCATTTTGTCGCACCAAGTTTCCCGCCACACTCAGCAAAATAATTCTCTCTCTCTCTCTCTCTCTCTCTCTCTCTCTCTCTCTCTCTCTCAGTGGCAGATACACCCTTCCCTCTGTGTCTTGGTGGGACACACACACACACACACACAGTACAATGTTATGGTCCTCTCCACTTCCACTAACTAAAGGAGATATGATAACCCATCCAACTAACTAACTCAATATTTAAGCGTTATAGGAATAGCATCCAAAATGGCCATGAATTTGTACCGAAATTCTACTCTACTTAGAAGATTTAAAAGACTTGGACCCAACTAGTCACTTTTAGCGAATTGTTGATGGGTAATGAAGTAGTTTATGACCTTATATAGCCCGGCTGAGGTCATTGTCAATTAAAAGACCTCTTATCTGTTTAATTCTGTTTGTTGTTTGTAAATTTAGTTTTGGATTTTTATTGAACTTTTTTTTAATGATGGAAAATATTTACGGAAAAAATGCTTAATATTTATATTCGGTAATTTTTCTTATTGTATGTATGATTTTCATTTTATATTATTTTTGCACGAGAAGGACAAACATGACTATATCACTTATTTTATTTGCGTTATTTCTTTGAATCTATTTATTTTTAGTAATTTGGCAGCGGTTTAATATATTT